TTTAAAATAACTACCTAGGCTACCAGACTCTTCAGTAAATTTTCCAATTTAAGACTCTTGGATCTTTTACTGCAGTTTGCGTCCCTCCATATCCATGTATCCTGTCCTAATATGTTATGTGCTAGGAAATCACATTCCATGTTTTATTATGTTACATGTATGTCTCAAAGAAGAAAGAGCAGAGCAGATTCTGGAAAAGTACCTGAGAAACTCTCCCTGGATCGTGGTGCTGGGTTTTCTAGCACAGCCTTTACGACACCTTTTGTGACTCTCAGAACATGAGGACTTACGTTTTCTTGGCTACGTTCCCAATATCTAAACACATGACTTCTGAGAAAAAAATGGGGTCTTCATGCATTTATAGGGTCTTTTTCCTGTCATAGCTTTAAATAACAATGTTCTGCATGTGATGTATGCCTTTCTGTAATTTTTCTCCAGTAAAATTTTACTACCCCACAATGTCCAATATTCAGAACATGTCTTATTAAAAGGGGGGTGATTAATTTGCCTCCTGAAAATACCATTCTCCCCTGATTAAGACCAAAAAAGTAAACATGGTCAAGTATGGGGAACAGTCTCAGAAATCACTGCCTTCTGGAACATTGAAAACCAAATTTATTAACTGTTGACTTTAGTATATTTCCTGAGCTTTGTCGCCCGAGAGGTTAAGCTCTGGAAATTATATATTTCTTTTTCTGGTTCATGGACATCCTATCAAAATGGCACAAGTTTCTCTGTGGCTTTTGTGAGACAGGGATGAAGGAACTCCTAGAAAATGAGAACTGGCCAGCACAATACAGATTTGTCTGGACGGGTACAACTGTAAGATCCAAAGTCAAAGAAATTAAGGACATGCTATGATTGTGGAAGAAAACCATTCTGGTTTATTATTAAAAATTTGAAAAAAACAGGAGGTGAATTTCAAAACCAATCTGTCCATCAGTAGCAGCTACAGAAAGTGACATTAAGACGTGAAATCCCAGCCAGCCTTGGCTTCTCACCTCCCAGTCCTTTTGTGTCCCGTGCCTCCCAAACTCGGGTCTCCAGGAGGACATAGCACCCTCCTCTGCGCCTATCCCAACTCCAGACAGATGAAGGCTACCAAGCCTGTTTGAACTGTGCGAATCTGTGCCTCCCAATCTCCTTGTGGCTTCATTTTCATCCAACTTCTCCCTTTACCTCTGCTCCAGAAAACTAAGCCATCCCATGCCCTTTAACCCTCTTTTGATGCCCTTGGCCTCATTTTCTCCTCTAAGTTCTCCTTTTCCTCTAATCATTGATTCATCATGGGTTTTTCTCCTGTCTTACAAACCTGATTATTTTGCCTTGTCCTTAAAGCAAACCAGAAAGAACTGTCTCCTAACCTTCCTGAGGCTGCTCTTTTCCTACACCAAATACTTCCCACAGTCTTCCATTTTTTCCTGACAAAGTTGTGAATATACTCCCCCACCTCGCTTCTGCACTCCACACGCCCTTGTTCAACTGTGGCCATCCAGATACAAGCTCTTGGCGGTGTCTGGGGGACCAGGCCTCTGAAGGGTTATAAATCACTTCCTAGGAGTCGGATTTCCTTGGACTGTTTTCAGGCTTCATCTGACTTGATATTTCCACAATGAATATTCAGCACTGTGGGTGACCATCTTTCTAGAAATTTCCTACTGTTTGTTCTGTGAGACACAGATGAGGGAATTCTTAGAAAACGAAGTTGGGACAATTTAATGGAGTTCTGTTTGGAGGAGAAGAAGAGTCGGAAGGGAGGCACAAAAACCAAAAACCAAGGCCATGCTGTGACTGTGCAAGGGATCTTCTGAGTCCACCCAAGCTCATTCGCTGCTGGGCCCGGGGCTCTCTTGATCCTCTTTTCTATGTTCATCCTTTTAGCTCCCCTGCCTTCCTCCCCTCACATGGTTGCATTCCCAAAGATCTGGGCTCAGTGTTCTTTGCCTAATGCAGCTCATCCACTCTAGATGTCAAAACTGGACTTTACACTAACTCAGTTTCTTTTTTTATTTTTAAATGTTTTATTATTTTTATTTTATGTGTATGAGTGTTTTGCCTGCATGTATGTAGTAAATGCACCCATGTTGTGCAATGCTTGAGGAGGTTAGAAGAAGGTGTTGGGTCCCCTGAACTGGAGTTATGGATGTTGGTTAGTCACCATATGGGTGCTGGGAACCAAACCCCAGTCCTCTGCAAGAGTAACCAGTGCTCTTAGCCACAGAGCCATCTCCAGCCCCCAGTCGGCTTCTTTTACCACCTGGTTCCTTAATTCAGTCCTTGTTCCACCATTCCATGAATGACTTCCAAGGTGAAATCCAGTGACCTCCTCCAGGCCTCATTTCCCCTGACTTCTCACAGAGTCAGACACTAAGAACATTCTAGTCCCTTCCTTCTGCTTCACAGAAAACCACTCCTCTTTCTTCCAATCTTTCTGGTGTCTCTGCATCCCAGGAGAGTTCCTCCTCCTCCTCTGTTCAACCACCATCACGGAATATTCACAATATTTACGTCCAGCCCACATTCTTTGAAAGACACACACACACGTACACCCACACCCCCCCACACGCCCACATACACACCCACACCCATGCTAACCCCCCCTGCCCCCCCCACTCCCCATCACCTCCACCCACCCACACCCACGCACACCCCCCCAGCCCCCCCCACACCCACACCCATGCACACACACCCACGCACACACACACACACCCATGCAAGCACACACCCACGCACACCCACACCACACCCCCACGCACACACCCATACCCATGCACACGCACCCACACACACCCACACCCATGCAAGCACACACACCCACCCACACCCACGCACCCCCCCACATACACCCACACCCACACCCACATTCACACATACACACACACATGCAAGCATATACACACGCACACCCACACATGCACACCCACACCCCCACACCCCCCATCCACATGCGTGCACACACACACACACACACACACACACACACACACACACACACACCCATGAAAGCACAAACCATCTTTTTAGGTCTTCTTTGGGCTGTTGAAAAGAAACTTAAACTCAGCGTATCAAAATAAACATAACTTCTTCCAAGAAAGTCCTTTCTCAGTCTTCCGGAAGGACACCATCATCCTCCCCCATCCTCCCCCATCCTCCCTCATCCTCCCTCATCCTCCCCCAAGCTCCTCCATCGTCCCCCATCCTCCTCCATCCTCCCTCATCCTCCCCCAAGCTTCCCCATCCTCCCTCATCCTCCCCCAAGCTCCTCCATCCTCCCCCATCCTCCTCCATCCTCCCTCATCCTCCTCCATCCTCCCCATCCTCCCTCATCCTTCCCCAAGCTCCTCCATCCTCCTCCATCCTCCCTCATCCTCCTCCATCCTTCCCCATCCTCCCTCATCCTCCCCCAAGCTCCTCCATCCTCCCTCATCCTCCCCCAAGCTCCTCCATCCTCCCCCAAGCTCCCCATCCTCCCCCATCCTCCCTCATCCTCTCTCATCCTCCCTCATCCTCCCCCAAGCTCCTCCATCCTCCCCCATCCTCCCTCATCCTTCCTCAAAGTGGGTGAGACAAACAAAGATGTCACACTTGGCAGCTCCCTCTCTCTCAGTCTAGGATCATTCCCAATCAAGTCTACTGACTTCCCACATACCTTCTAGAGGTGTTTATCCTTTTCCCTCTATTATGTTAATTCAGACAAATAAGACTTCATCTAAAATCCTGGTAGTTATGGATACCGATCCCGTTATATCTAACAGTATTTTTTAAAGATTTATTATTTTTAAAAATTTGTTATGTGCATCTGTGTGAGGGAATGTATATGTGTGTACAGGTGCCTGTGGAGTCCAGAAGACAGCGATGGGTCCTCTGGAGCTGGGGTTACAAGCAGTATGAACCATCTAATGTGGGTGCTAGGAATCAAATTCTATTTTTTTGTAAATGCAGTATACACTCTTATCTGCTAAGCAATCTCTCCAGTCCCCTCTAACAAGATTTTTAAAAACAAAAACTTTAAAAGTCTTTTAAAGATGTCAGATGTCCAATGGATGTGGCTTAATCTGGAATAGAACTGTGAATTACAAAAAGGAGGCGGGGTGTCTTCTAAATCATGAGGAAAAGTGTTATTATAAAGCTATAACTATCAAGAGGTCACTGATGCTGGGCATGGTGGCTCACACCTTTAATCCCAACACTTGGGAGGCAGAGGCAGGCAGATCTCTGAGTTTGAGGTCAGGCAAGTTCCAGGCCAGCAGGGGCTACAAGGGAAACCCTGTCTCAAAAAGTCAAAAAAAAAAAAAAAAAAAAATGAGGTCACTGATTTAACAGGTCTGCACAAAGGGCCCTGCACTTGGGGTAGAAACAAATGGTTTCTGAGAATTTCACTATTAGCTGGCTGGTACCCAACTGGTGTTTATAATAATGACCCATTTCACAAGAACACACGCTGTTTGGTAAAGTCTGTTGCTTATGACAAGGATATTTCTAATATTTTTTTTTCTACAAACTCTTAAAGTTCTAGGCATTTATCTTCAATGACTTCATTTTTGAAAGGAATAAAGTGTTTACATTACCATGTAAAAACTATCACTAATTTACTTTGAAGGACTGTAGATAATCCACATTTAACGGACAAAATCAGTTCACAGAATGGTCTGTACTGCCAGCAGTTAAGCAGTAAAAATATTCCAATAAAAATCTAAACAGACTACTTAAACATTTTCAGAAAAACTGGAGAGAAAAAGGAATCTACCCCCAGGGTGTTACTTTAGCAGCCTGCTTTAAGGGCACAGCAAAACAACTCTGCCCTTTAACAGCCGAAATCAAGTCATTAGATTTAGGACAAGTGGTTCATGGGAAGCTGACTGTGGTCACACAGTTACTGAGACCATTCCCAGGCACTGGAGCACTGACTGCTGTGAAGGATCAATCACAAACACATGGGGAAGCACAAGAGGCCGCAGCCATTTCCTGCAATGCAAGTGATTAATTTCCCTGTGACCTACCTGCCGTGGGGGAGTTTGCATGGTGAGACTTCTTGGGCAGGTTGAAGATTTGTTCGCCTGGATCGGGAGGGGGAATTGCATCTTGCCCTTGTCGCGCCTCGACGGGATCATATTCCTTCCCATCATAGTTGGCATCATAGAATTTCTTAAACCACTGAATAAAATCCAGGTTGTCTTGGAAGCGTCCTTTCACCAGCTTCTCCACTGGAATCACCTGCAATGTGAGGTCACTACATGAGTTGGGAATTTTAGGTATACTGGCATTTGATGCAGTTATAACCTAAGAATTGCCTACAACTCTCTTTTTTTTTAAAAAAATGTATTTATTTAATTTTATTTTTTATGAACTTTTTGTGAT